TCGGAAATCCGCTTATACCAACTACTCTTAAATATCAAAAAGGGCATTTCCAAAAAATCACGCACAGAAACTCGTATATGTTTTGTCTATTAATCTCGGAAAAATAAAACTGGCGATCTTTAATATACTTTCATTTAATTCTAATGTATATAAACAAAGAATGGTTTACATTAGTTATATGTTAAAGAGTTAATTAAGTTTGAAGGGAAGTTTGAATGGAACAAAAAAACGCAAACTATAGTTACTAAAGAAATAAAATTTAATTACTCAGAAAATATAAGCTTCAGCATTATACTTTTTTTTTAATAAAATTTTAGATATTAGTAAATATATCCAGAAAGGGATTACACTTTGTATTATCGAGTCACAACAATCTTTTAAAAGTAGTTCATGAATGATCACGGACGGAAGTCAGGCATGAAAGTTGCGAATTTGTCAATTTCATGTAGTTATAAATATGAAAATAAATTTCTAGTATTTCAAATGAAATATTGTACTTCTACAACTCATATTGAATATATTTTTGATGAGAAATAGCAGTATTTGATAAATTTCTAGCTAGAATATAGCGTTTTGAAAATTATTGTATATTTTTCCAGCTATTGCGACGTTAACGCGCAAAAAAAAATTAAATTGATAAAAATATATATTTAATTTAATCAGATAGCCTAAAATATGATAAAATCATTTTTTGTTATAATTGCTCTTTAAGAGAATCATAACAGTGTACATATTGCTTTAAATCCCAGCTTTTAATTGTTAAATCAAAGAAAAATAAAAAATCATACACAGAAATGAAAATGATCGATAGCCGTGATTATGTTAAGGTTTTTCCTTTTTTACAATTAAGTTTTTAAATGTTTAGGTTTTAATTAAAAAGTTTTTTTTTTTAATTTCACTTCATTCACTGTATTTACTTCATTCAATGCATTCACTTCATTCACTGCATTCATTTCATTCACTCTATTATTAGTAAAATTAGCCACATGTGGTAAAAATGGCTTCACCTAATAACAATACTAAATTTTTTTATGTTGTTTCTTTAACATTCTGTTAGCAACTTATCTTTATAGCCTATCAACTTATATTCAAGACTAAGTATTTTTTATAGTAAAAACAGATGAACATAAAAATCTGCACAAAATTTATTGCATTGTAGGAGGCATCCTTAATTGTTCATTGCCAATCATGCATTTTTTATTAGGCCTTTTTTATAAATAAATATATATTTTTTTAGAAATGTCAAAAAAAAAAAAACATTTAAATTAAAGTATCGTACAATTAATTTCAAAAAATGAAATAACTTATTTAAATTTAGTTATTTATTTATCAAATTTTTCCAAATATTTTTTAAGTAATATATAAGTTGTTGTATATATACAACTTACAGTGGAAGTTACAAAATAATGAAGTTTACTGATGGGTATATAGTTGTTATAGTTAAATACATTATTTGTAAATAATATTTTTTTTATATATAAAACTTGAAAAAAATTGTTTTAGTAAATTTTTGAATATCTCAGGAAAATTTTTAGCTAGATATTTTAACCATTATCAATCTATATTAACCCACATAAAAAATAAAAAGTTTCATTGTGAGAAAAAAAAGTTTAATCTAAGTAATTGACCGCATCCTTCTCACACTTATAAAAAAAAAAGAAAATAAAAAAACTTTTTCTATTCAAAAGCAAAATGTCATCTACACATTAACAATTGTTCATTTAATAAAAAGTGAATAAACTCTCTAACAAAAACTTGAAAAATAAGAAATGTCTTTAAAAAATTCTTTAGTTATTTACTTACTATTTTCCTTTTTATTATGAAAGTGACATACCGAAATATCCTTAAAAAAATTAGTTTAATAGACCCATTACTGGATTAACGCATTGTGTGGCTACCCTGCTGGGATGTCCTAAATAGTATAATTTTATAGATATATTGTAGACTTGATGCGTATCTTGAAGAGTTACAATTGACTGTATGCCAAAATTTTAATTCCACGATGATTATAAAAAATATTTTTTAGGTTTGTATGTTTACGATGTTATTTATTTTTTACATGATTATATGAAAAATTGTGATATTGCTATAATATATACATATACTGTTATAATCAGTCTGGGACTCAAAGAAGTAAGGATGATCCGTTTATCATCACAACCTTTTCATAGAGCTTCTTTAGTTACTCATTAAAAAAACACTTTAACTTTTAAAGTAAAATAAAAATTCAATAAAACAAAGCTCATATTCTTTTTTAGTGTTAAAAATTAAAAACAAAAATTATTAAAACAAGTAAGAAGAAAAAAAAGGAGAAGAAAAAAAATTCAAAAATCTGAAAACAAATACTGTAAACTATAAAATATATGTCAGGAATTAAGAAGATGCATTTTAGTTTGCCGTTTAAACGATAAAATGCTTTTTAGGTCTTTAATATTTTTATTTTGGAAATGATTCCATATTAATGGACCACGGTTTATAATTGGAAAAGGTAATAGTTGTACCTGGAACGTAGATTATATTTTTCAGAAAATGATATCAAGAAAATATCTGAAAAAATGTTTGATAGTAGATTATTTTTATACTTCTACATAAAAATAAATATCTGTAATGTGTCAAGTTTCTCAATATCTTGAACCATCATGCTTTTAATCAATGAGGTCGGTATTACTAACCTATTTAAATAATTAATTGCTTTGCATACATGGCTTTGAAGACTTTGCAATTTTAACAATTTTGTTTTATGGGTACCAGCCCATACAATATTTGCGTACAAAAGCTGACTATGTACAAGACTAAAGTAAAGCATATTACGTGACTATTTGTCTATTTATGTATTGAAATGGGTTTTGTTTCGGTGAAACCACCCAAGTTTAGCTTTACAATGTAATGAAATATGAATAAAATTTTCACATGAAATATGAAAAGATCAAGAAAAAATAGTTATTATAAACACCAGATCGCTTTTATATTTTATGGATTATATTTTATGGATTTTATATTATATGGATTACTAAACCCTTCATTAAAAAAGACAAATGTTTAAAACTTATAAAATATAAAGTCTCCCATAAAAATTTATTCCAAAATACTTACAAAAACCATTATAATGCAAAGTTATTTTAAAAAAGCCACCAGAAACACTCTAAAATCTTGGAAATAAAAAAATAATAATGCAAGAATACCCAGTCAGAAAAAAATAATATATATATATATATATATATATATATATCTGGAAATGATACAGTTTATGAAAAATCAATTATTGCTGCAAAAAATACACAGTTTAAATATTTAGGTTAGCCTAACATTACTTAAGAAACTATTTAGTTTCTTAAGTAATGTTAAGCTAAGTGAACAAGTTAATTTCTAAAATTCAAACAAACTCAACATCGTTTGATGGAGTTAAGTGAATTACCTACTGTTAATTGGATGGTGTAAAGGCCAAGTGGACTAACCCTTCAATTTTTGGTTTTTATTATTGTTGTGTTTCTGCATTAGTAAAACTATGTTTTATTTTAACCAAGCGGACTAGCTTATCAACAACATAGATTATTGTTAAAAGCTATTTATTTTTTTTTATTTTTTTTTATTAAATATAATTTATAAATAATTAAAAAAACTGTCTCCTGACCAATTTTGAAAATCGAGGTTAGTCCAATTGGCCTTAACACCTTCCATTTCACAGTCTGATTTATTGCGTTTTTCAAAAAGAAATTACCACTTTTATACTGACAAAATATGTTTTACTTTTGTTATTGTAAAAAGTCTTATAATAAGGGTCACGCAAATCTGTCACGCAATTTTTAAACGTTTTTTTACAATTCCACTCCCACCACCCCCACCCCACCCCAACTCTTACACCTTGTCACAACATAGTATTTCCGTAAGAGTTGTCACAAAACACTAACCCTTTCCTCTAAAGTGTGACGTAATTTATGGACGGCTCCAAACATAAATTTAAAAAAATTGCACAAGAATTACTGCAAATATGTGAAAAAACTAAAAAAAATGCTGCTTAAGTAGCTGTTAAACAGTGCTTTGAACAACATCGTAATCTGTAAATATTCCATATCGTGGTGGACAACGGAACTTAAATATGCAAAAAAAAGTCTTTCGTTTCACTATAAACAATGGAAAAAAATCAAAATATAATAAGAAACAAGAATGCAAGGAGTACAAAAGAGCACATTCTAGCACATAAAAACTTACGTAAAGCGGTCATAGGAGCCCAAAATAAAAAAGTTCATGAAAAAACAATAAATATAAAAAGTTTGCAAACTACAAATTCTCAGAAGTTCTAATTCATTAGTTATTACAACAGCTGATAGTATAAATAGCATCTCACTACTAAATAGTAGTAAGTAACCAGATAGCTATGGGATAATTGCTGAACATCTTAAAAATTCTCCTAATAACAATCTTTTGTGGCTCTCTAAATTTTATAAAATAATTTTAAATGCGAGGGTTTCAAAAGTTTTATTAACTTCAACAATTTTTCTACTTTTCAAGTCATATAATAAAAATCTTTCAATGATCCGCATAATTAACATAATTACCATAGAATAAGTATTTTAATTAGTACAACAGCTGTTCCCACCGCTTTTTAAAAATAAAAACAGCTCTACTCTCCACGCAGTTCCTATTGAGTGAAACTATACAACAGAATTTTTATTTAGTGAAACTCTACAGCACTATAAAAACAATAACGCGTCTCTATTTAAGTGCAGTTTAGATGCCAATAAAGTTTTTGATACTTACAACAGGAATCTGCTATTTGAGCAGTTCTAATTCCAAAAAAACTTCCATTGTCTGTAGTACATACAATGTTATTGGTATACCTTTCCAGTATTGCAAATATATCATATCAAGTACTTATCTCAAATCAATTTAATCTCTCACAAGGAGTGCGGTAAGGTTCTGTTCTATCGCCTCATCTATATAACATTTATACTGAAAGCATCCTTAATGGAATAGTTTCAGAATGCAATGTAGGATTAAAA